TTGACTATAATGAAATTTTCTCTCCAGTCATGAAATTGTCTACAATCAGACTAGTGTTAAAAATTGTAGCTGTAGAGAATCTATATCTTGAGCAGTTAGATGTGAAAACAACTTTCCTTCATGGTGATTTGGAGGAATAAATCTATATGAAGCAACCAGAAGGCTTCATAAAGGCATATAAAAAAACCTGGTATACAGGTTAAAGAAGAGCTTGTATGGTTTAAAACAAGCTCCTAGACAGTGGTACAAGAAGTTCGATAGTTTCATGAGTAGCAGTGGTTTTACCAGATGCCAAGCAGATTATTGTTGCTACATCAAGAAGTTCGACAACAACTTCATATTTTATTATTGTACGTTGATGACATGCTCGTTGCAGGTTCAGACATGCAAGAGATTATAAACTTGAAGCAAAAATTGTCGAAGCAGTTTGCAATAAAAGATCTGGGCGCTGCAAAGCAAATTCTTGGGATGAGGATTAAGAGAGACACAAATTCGGGGACTTTGATGTTATCACAGGCTGAGTACATCGACAAAGTACTCTTCAGGTTCAACATGCAATATGTTAAACCAGTAAGTACACCTTTAGGTGTTCATTTTAGACTCTCCAAAGAACAGTCACCAAAGACGGACGAAGAACGTGCACACATGGTGAAGGTTCCGTATGGCTCAGCAATTGGAAGTCTTATGTATGCCATGGTTTGTACCAGACCAGATATTGCTCAAGCAATGGGACCTGTTAGCAGATACATAAATAATCCGGGCAAGGTACACTAGGAAGCAATCAAATGAATCCTCATATATCTACGAGGTACCACAAACAAAGAACTTTGTTTCAAAGGTGGAGATATGATACTGATAGGCTATGTAGATGCTGACTTAGCCGGAAATATTGACATCAGAAGAAGCACTACAAGGTATGTCTATACTCTAGGAGGTACCGTAGTGAGTTAGGTTTCTCAACTACAGAAGATAGTTGCTCTCTCCATAATTGAAGCAGAATATGTCGCTGTTACGGAAGCCAACAAGGAGATGGTTTGGCTCCAAAGTTTCTTGGAAGAGTTAGGCAAGAAACAAGAAAACAATATCTTGTATTGCGACAGCCAAAGTGTTATCCATCTAGCGAAGAATCCGTCTTTTCATTCCAGGACGAAGCACATATAATTGCGATATCATTTTATCGTGTCTCTTCTGGAAGATGAGATTTTGAAACTTAAAAAGATTAGTTGAGCTCAAAATCCGGCAGACATGTTAACAAAGACAGTGACTACGGACAAACTGAAGTTGTGTTCAGCTTCAGTTGGCATGCTAGAGTAATGAGACCAAAAATACTATTGCATCGATCGAGGTGTGAAGACAGATTAAAATCAGTCTTCAAGTGGGAGATTGTTGAAAGTAAAAGTAAAAAAAAGGTGGCAAAATTGGTAACACCGAATTCCACCAAAAAGTTGCAATAATTTTGTCAAAAAGGCAAGCCTCAATTGTTGAAATGAAAGGATAAAATCTCACAATTAATCCCTGGACTTTAGGATGTTTACAAGATTAAGTCCTTAAGCTTCAACTATAAATACCCTAGCTCATTTAGCTTCAAAATCATCCCAAATCATTTCCTTCTTCGAATACTAGAGAGCTTTCTTGTGAGTTGTCTTGTGAGTTGTGAGTATTTTGTAAACACCTGTAAATTTTCTCTTTAGTAAAATATATGCAGCAGTCCGAAGACGTGGGCATAATTGGCTTAACTTTGTTATCAATTTTGGGTATTATTTTCCGCTTTTATTTCGCATTCTCACTAATCTGGTTATAAGGAAATTACTTGTTTATTTCCCAACAGTCTCTTACCATCAGCTTTAGTAAGTGGTTGTTCCTTTATCTTCTTACTGCTTCTAAGGGTCATTTGCTCCACTCCCTATGCGTTCTTGGACATCAATGTCAAGATTCATTGAAGATACCCACGTGTTTCTGCAAAATTAGTCTCTAAGTTTGTAATGTCTCTTCCCAGATAGCTTTCTATGCTTTCCACCATTTTAGAATCACATCCTCTGTAGTTTCAGTGGTTTGTTCTTAAGATTCAGTTGGATTGGTCTCTACCATTTTTTAAGTCTTCTTATTTTTACAGCTTTAATATTTTTCTCTTTTTCATGAAAATAACCTGCTCTGAATACCAATTGTCAGGGTTTAACCTGATAATATGTAAGAAAGGATTTAAGAATGAAGAAGAAAATGAAGATTTTTAGAAAAAAATACTGAAGTTCATTCATAATGCCTTTTAGATCATTTTTTTTACATGTTATATAGCTCATTCTGATTTGTATAAATTATTTATTGATAGTTGTTGTTCTTCTTAACAAACTAGATTCTCTTCAGGACCGTTGCTTCCTCATTTGATGAGATTAATTGGCTAGGTTGTTGCTGATCCGTTTACCCGTATTTTGGCCTACTTCTTCATTCACGTGCTCTTCTTTTGTCACCGTCATTTCCTCCAGTAATAATTTTTTACTTTTATCCACCTTCCTTTTCTCATTCGTCGAAATCCCTAATCCCTCAACTTCACTTCCTTCGATCTCTAGTTCCACTTTCAAGACCATGACACTATTTTAAATTTACTTTAAATTTTGAAAACTTAAAATCTAAACTATAAATTAAACCTTAAAACCTTAAAACAGGGATATGTATAAACTAAAGTTTACACATTTTAATATTAGATGATTTTCTTTGAATAAGACTTATTTTACACATGTTTATTTTAACTTAAAATATTAAATTTTAAAACTTAAAATCTAAATTCTAAAACTTTAAATCTAAATTTTAAACTCTAAATTTAAATAAAGGCCTTAAACCATAGATAAACCCCCCAAAACATTAAAATAATCAAAGTTGTAGAAACTAAAATTTACACTGCTTGTGTACCAGATACTTTTCATAATTTTTCTTTGAATAAAATTTATAATTTGATACACATATTGCATATAATTTATTTTGCACAACATATCTATTTTCGTCTTAAATCCTAAAATTTAAAATTTAAAACCTAAAATTTTAAATTCTAACATGAATAAGTTGAGTAATTATAACATGTAGGATGAAATAGAATTGTCCAAAGAAAGAAACAACTCCAAAAACTTTAAGGGTAAACACAGAGTTGGTCACTTTTATTTTATTTTTATAAATTTATGGTCATTCGATTTAAAAAAGTTAATGTGTGCTAACGTTTGTTTTGGTTTAATTAAGATATTGTCACTTAGCTTATCAATCTTTAAATATTTAGTCACTCAGACTTTAACAACCGTTAAACCATTATCAGATCGATGACTTGGCACAATAATTAAATAAAATATAAAATATGTCATTTTCACGTGTATCACACGTTGATTAAAAAAATAAGAGATTAATTGACCGACTGTTTGACTTCATTATATTAACCTTGCCTTTTTTAACATACCTCGTTTATCATAATAATTGGCGCGATAATCTAACCCCTTTTTTGATCCATTAAACAAAACCTTTTGTTTTGGGATTCAAACGTTTCATGGGTAAACTACATTGAGGGGGAATCAAAAGCTATGAGGGAAAAAAATCTGTGGAAAAAAATTAAATATGTGGGAAAAAATCAAATGTGACTGTCAGTCAACAATTAAATGTCTCCAACCCTGCACCTACAACTCAAGAATCAACCGATCTTCTAAACCAAGGATCACAAGCTTCAACTAGGAATTGAAACTGCACAAAGATTTAAACTTATTTTTATAAATAACCTCAATATATAATTTCTTTTGTGAACCACCTTTATTTTGTCTGTAATGTCCTTTATATGCATTACCTTTTGTGATTACATATAGTTAACTTTGAACAGATTTTAAGTCATAATTTAGGTTATTATTTTGTAGTTAATTTAATCATGTATAAGCTTAAAACATGTTTTTCACTTTAATGCAAATCTTCGGTCATTATTTTGTTACAGATTTATTCATTTATTAGTTTACAAATTGTATATTAGTTAAGTGGATATAATCACAAAAGAAGATAGATTACACAAAAAAACCTCCATTACATTAAACCAAAAATAATTTGCTTGAATCCTAACTTAAACCCTAAATCTACTAATATCCCCCACCACCATCACACCGTTCAAACAACCCTAAATTCCAACCCATTACTTCATAACCTAGACAATCGTCACACACAAAATCAACACAGATAATTAACAAATGTGTTCTAACATTCTCGTTCTCTCATTTTTCTTCACATTCTTCAAGGGTCTAACAATAATCACTCTTGAACGAAAGGACATAAGAACATCATACCAAGAAAAGAAACCAACAAAAAAAAAACTTGTTTCTATTCCCATAATTTTTAAATCCAAAGAACCTCCTACTTAGGTTTTCATCAATCCAAGCAATTACAATTTCAGCTCGTTCTCCACAACAACAAATGAGTATTACATTACTTCCTTCCCCGATACTCTTCTTCACCGCCATTTCTTCTTTTTCCCTACATTTTAGAGATGATTTTAACATCTAGGAATTTCAAATGGTTTCAAAACATGCTTTAGGTATTTCAAGGTAAGGGCTACTTAAATAGAAAATTTTTAGAGTGATTCACCGTTTGACATCAATTATTTCTCTTTTATTTTTTTTAAATATTCCAATCAATTGGTCATGTGATTATTATTTAATTTAAGTTTATTTATTTACAGTTCCATGTCAGATATACGTTAACGATTTAAGTGATCGTTTATGCGAAATGACGTCTTAACTAAAATAAAATAAAAGTGACCACGTATTAACGATTTTGAATCGAATGACTATACATTTAACAAAACAAAATAAAAGTGATCAACTCTGAAGTTTACTCAAATTTTAAATTCTAAAATGAATAAGTTGAGCAATTATAACATCTGCGATGGAATAGAATTATCCAAAGAAACAAACAGCTCCAATGTAACAAAATTTTAGTTTAGGTATGACGAATATCAAACATAAAACATTTGGGCCGTCGTTTATCCCATTCTGTTGTGTTCTTCGTTCCCTCCTCACTAACTCTTCTTCTCACTTCAAATTTCACTAATTTTCCCATTGGGAGGTTGTAAAATTCAATGGAAAATATGAATATGGCGTTGATTGCATCCTCTTCTTCACCTCCAAAGCCTTATCTTTTAGGACACACTAATAATAATAATCTTATCTATACTCTGAAAACACCTACCAAAATCTTCACTTTTCCAACTTCTAGGATTGCTCCTCGTCGTTCCAGAATCTCCTACTTGGCCCACGCTACTCCTCCACGACGTCTCCCCCAAATTGGTTTTTTTTATTTTCTCTTTTTCACCTCTTTTTTTTCTTATTTTTTAAAGTTTATTATATTTGATCTTATTCTGTCCTCTTAATGCAGTTTTCAGAAAATCTGGAGACGAAAGGTTTGCCAGCATTTCTTCAAGTAATCAGCAAACTTCTTCGGTTGGAGTCAACCCTTTTCCAACTGTGCCACCGCCGTCCTCTCAAATGTAATTCAATCCATCGTTTTCCTTGTATTATCTCTGGTTTCTGATTTATGCTTTTGAATATGGGATTACATGAACTAAATTTTCAGGAAAAAAATTGCTTCAACGCAGGATTAGAAAGTAGTAGTCTATCTTTGGATTAATGTTGCATTTTAGTTATTTATCCATTTTTAATAATTTTTCTTATTAACTTTGTAATGAGCAAAAACTGATGATGAAACAAAGCAATAGTTTTCATGTATAATGAAATACTGTATTATTTTTCTTGTATATGAAATAGCTGTATAGTGAAATAATTATAGTTTTTAATTGTTTACTTTTACTTTATAGCAGTTTTGGGTTAGTGAAAGAGAAAGTATTGATTAGAAGGACATTCCAAATGTATATAGTTTCTGGTGTGACATTTTTTTGTTTGCCTAGTTGTTTATGTGTTCATATTTTGCAGAGGGTCACCGCTTTTCTGGATTGGAGTAGGTGTTGGGCTCTCAGCACTTTTTACATGGGTGAGCACAAAGCTTCTATTTTTCTTTTCAGTCTTTTTGAGTGATATCTAGAGTTGTTCTATTAATTGGAATTTGTTTTTTTTGTATATATCTTAATGAAGTTGATTGAAATGACAGGTAGCTTCAAGCTTAAAGGTGAGGGTTTCTTTACTATGAGGTATGGTTATGTTGTTTTGCCTGTAAGTTGTATGATTGAATCTTATGTTCTAGTTTTGGAAGTAGAATTGGGTACTTAAATGAAGCAATGAAAATTGGCAATGGATATAAATCTTTTTAGTTTGCATGGTTCGGATGCTTTCTACAAAGTGAAAGTGTTCATTACGCTTCTTGTGACATTCGAAGACAGAAATCGGCATGTGAGTGGGGAAACTTTAGATCAAATTGGCTATTGTACCAATTGTTATTTCACCAAATTATTATAAGTGGTAGTTTATGTCTTTCCTTTACTTTTTAAAGTTTCTCTATCAAGGTGCCTTATTTTATCTGTTAAAGTTTCTTTTTGGAGGGATATGCAGCAGTTGATCAAATTATTTGGTTATGTAATTGATTCTATTCACTATACATTCTTTGAAATCCAATAATGAAGGCTATAATAGATAGTGATAGTTCAAAACCATATAGGAGAATACAGGTTTTGCTTACAGGGCCTATAGTTATCCTGCAAAATTGTATTTTGATATTTGTAAAACTCACTTCATCCATCCCAGAGGTAGATGATTCCTGCCTGGACGCAGGGGTGGGGGCATGGTGGTTCTTGCTGACAATGAAGTTTTTTTTAATGGAAATTATAAATCCAAGGTGTTGAATCCAATCCAGAAAGTAAGAGCTAGTTGTATGATTTGTGCCTCCTAAATTTCTGTCAGATCTTGATTGGATATGTTGAGAAGTTGACCTAATGGGGGCAGCTTACCTTTACATAATCTACACTTGGCATGACTCTATGCTCTTCTATGTTATGGCACCAGGACAAGTACTCGTATCTAGATAACAATGGTATGAGAAAGAATAGTAATATTTGCTGTATCTAAATTTTAACAAAAATGGAGAAGATACAGAACAGAATAGTAATATTTATTAGCTATGGCAGTGTAAGAATCTTGACACAATTACAACCAATAATCTTGAAATTCAAATAACAGAATCACATACGATATATATAATAAATAACATGGACTATATTTTTTCTTCTGGAAAACATAGCTAAATACCTATAAAGTAGGAGATAATGGATAGCATGGAAGAACTGAAGTTGTGGAAACATGGAGAACATACAGTTTGTTAAGGTAAGACTTGCAACTCTGCTTTAGTATCATGTAGATCATGGCGATTGTGTAGTCCAAGTAGCTTAGAAAGTTAGATTTGATCTTCCACTATCTGCTCCTTGTTTTGTGCTTTCCATTTTCTCCTTGAATAGGTCTGCAATAGTAGTGGAACCGTATCAGTATGATACATAGATTTTGTATTTCTGTAAGTTTCTTGGTTGTCATATAAGAGCCCTACCATAGTTTGTTAGATATATAACACTCTTTCATGGCCTTTGAGTTGTGCCTTAATATGTCTACATTTATCATTGCATGGTTAACTCTTTTTATGTGCTTAAACTTTGAAACCTGGTGGAGGAGGTCGCTGAATACCTTTGTTATTTCATTGATTTATGATATCCACCTTTCCATTGTTCAGAAATATGCAATGCAGCAAGCGTTCAAAACCATGATGGGCCAGATGAATACAAAAAATAACCAATTTGGCAATGCCGCTTTTCCATCTGGATCCCCGTTCCCTTTTCCAACACCTCCATCACAAGGCCCTGTCACATCACCTCCTCCACCTTATCAAAGCAAAGTTACAGTTGATGTACCTGCAACAAAAGTTGAATCCGCCCCGATAACTGATCCAGCAACCAATGGAAAAAGTGAAACAGAAACTACAGTACCAAAGAAATATGGTAAAGTAGAACTTTTACTGCTGCCACATGATGTTGTATATTGTGTAATTCTTCCTTGAGGTAAAATGGAACATTATATGGCACGCTCATGCATATGAAACATTAGTAAAATTAACAAATCTTTTTTTCTTTCTTTCCCTAGAATAATGGGTTTACTTAATATATGGATTATGGAAGTATAAAACTGAGTTGTAGTATCAACGGAATATTTTATTTCAAATGATGGTTTTGGATTCAATTAACAACTCATTTCATCCCAATTGCAGATGTTCTTGAGATTGTTTCTTAAGACTGATTCAAAATTCTATTTGCAGCTTTTGTGGATGTTTCTCCAGAAGAGAGCATGCAGAAGAATGTTTTTGAAGATGTGGTAGAGCTAAGTTCATCAGACAATGCTCAGATTCCCAAGGATGTAAGTTTTTTAAGCTTTTTCTGTGAGACTGTTCTATGGATTAATTTCTGTAATTTCAATGCATCTATCCTGGAAAATTAAAATTTCGAATGATGTCTGAAGGTTTCTGACAATGGAGCTGCATCAAAGCAGGATGCTAGTGCTTTTGGCAATTATCAGACAACTGGTACAAATGATTATTTGAAATGAAAGTGTGACACGTTTTGGTTTGTAGTCATTGTAATAACTGTCTAAAGAAATGGATAAAAATGCATGGAGAGTTTTGTATCGATTGCAAATCCTGCTGTTTTCCCGTTGGTATAAAATCTTATTTGGACCAAGGGAGGTATAATGACTTGAAAAAAAAGTGTTATTCCAATATTTTAGAGATCAATAGATCTTCTGACAAGGAGGGATATAATAGATTGATTATGATATCTATGTTAAAAAAAAGGAACAATAATAGGAGGCACTAAGCAGCGAAGTAAAAGGGAAGTGCTTGTCATCACTTGATTTTTCATGAGTTGACATGCATATAATTTTCGCAGTAATTAATGCTATTTTGTTCAACACTAGCCCTTTTGAAAGATATTTGTTGGTGCATATATTGACATAGCTAAACGGTGACCAAATATGTGGTTCTATTACCTCTTTGATACAGCTGCATTTCTGCTGCTCTCTTATGTTGCATTTTGGTTGCTTTATGATTAAATTAAACATTGTGCCTCTTTACCAGTAGTAGACTTGTACCCATCCATAGTCAACAATCAAATCATGCATGTACACATTTTGGGCATGCTCTTAGTTTATTGTGCTCTCTCTGTAATATTTAATAAAGCATTCTGTTACATTTGCAGGAAGAGCAGGTCCTGCCTTATCTGTGGATGCTTTGGAGAAAATGATGGAAGATCCAACAGTGCAGAAGATGGTTTATCCGTAATAAAACTTCTTTTCCTCAAATATTTTATTTTTTCTGATTTTTTATTGACGTCATGTCATCTTGGTGTACCTGAGGAGTGTAGGGTAAGCTTATGCTTCTTTCTTAATACCCATTATTTCGTTTTCATTCTTTGGAATAATTATAGAAGTAACAAAAAACTAGGTCAATGGTATATCTTTCTTATATTTAAAAATCGTTTGGGATTGGTATCTCAAATGTTGTGATGAATGAACATGGAGCTAGTAGGCTTTCATTAACTTTTCGAGTACATGGAATTAGCTGAATTAGATATAGTAATGAGATAAGTCCACTGAAACCCCCTCAAAAGCTTGTAAGCTCTAAAGCACATCATACTATTTTTCTCTTAAAACATAGATAAGCAAACCTAACTTTTCATTTTGCTTCCCTAATTTGTTTCCACATCTGGAAGTCGTTTATTGCTCTACTTATGGGATAAAATTCAACCCTAAGTATTAGGAGTTGGACTATCTAAAGATCAACTGTAGCATTAGAAGCTGACTGTCTGGCTGTTTTTTAAGGTTGATATAATTACAAAGAGAAAGGATAAGGAGGGAGTGTATAGATGGAAATTGATATATTCCACTTTACTACCTTCAGCTGAGTCCTAATAGCACCTCTAAAAGTAGAATTCTTCCAATTAAAATCTCTTTGTTTTAAAAATTCTTTTACTCGTAGACTTCTTCCTGGTGCTCAAGTAGTTATTTTTTTAAATGGAATTATCCCTTTTATTGCAATCTGTTATTTATTGAAAAGGAAATTTAATCTTTTATTTATTCTTACAGATACTTGCCTGAGGAAATGAGGAACCCTGAGACATTTAAATGTAAGTCCATGCTTAACCACTCTTTCCTTCTTTGTTTTTCTGTTCTTTTCTTTATGGACGAGGATTGAGGAGGATGGGTGGTGTTGGAATTCCTAGAATCAAGGGATAGTATCTTTTTTTTCTTAATTCTAGGAGTTTGCCTTATGTAAATAATCACTAATCTAATTCCCTGATCTTAGGAATCATTTCTTAATTTAGAGTAGTTCTTCCTTATAAATTGTAATTTACGTTTAGAGCAATAAAGTAAGAATTTTATTTCTTCTCACATTTGTTCATGGCATCAGAGCTGTAGGACTCATTCGATCCTATTCTGCTCTTCCTCTATAAATTGTTCTTGCGTTGTTTTCTTCTTATGGCAGAACAACCAGAAAATCTTTCCGAATCTGAAACCTCATATGTTGCACAAAACATAAATCAACCAATCCCTCTTGGTGACATGAGTTCCTCTCTTATAATCACCAACCATCGTCTAGATGGAAAAAAATTCCTACAGTGGTCTCAATCAGTTCTAATGGTTATTCGAGGCCGTGGGAAATTAGGATATATCAATGGAGAAATTCCTCAGCCAACCATCACAGACCCTACTTACGCTACATGGGAACTCAACAACTCAATCGTGATGGTCTGGTTAATTAATTCGATGGAAAGCCACATAAGCCGGACCTATCTCCTATTCAAGACTGCAAAAGAAATGTGGGATGCAATAAAGGAAAACTATTCTGATCTGGGAAATGCTTCCCAAGTATTTGAGATCAAATTAAAACTAAAAGACATTCGACAAGGGACGCTTGAGGTAACTAATTACTATAATAACTTGAAGATCTTGTGGCAGGAACTCGACATGTACTATGAAGCAGACTGGGGTGAAGGCTTGGAACAATCCAAATTTAGAACACATCTCAACAACGAAAGACTGATTTCCTTGCAGGACTGAATCGGGATTTGGATGAAGTTCGTGGACGAATTTTAGGCAGAACTCCACTTCCTACCATTGGTGAAGCTTTTGCAGAAGTTCGAAGAGAGGAAAATCATCGTCGGGTTATGATGGGAGATAATAAGGACCCAAAACCAGTAACTACCACTGGACATCGTCCAGTTGAAACCTCAGCCCTTGTATCTAGGGGTCCTCAATTCCAAAAGAGGAGTTATGTAGGTCAAACTCGAACAGGAGAACGACCTTGATGTAGCCACTGCAACCACACTGGTCATACGAGAGAAAAGTGCTTCAAATTCCATGGATACCCTGGAAACACAAAAATTCAGAAAGAGATCAAGGCTCTTGTATCATCCAACACTTCATCCTCTACAAAAAATACCTTGGATGTCCGCCTAACCAAATCTCAACTCGAAGCCCTGCACAAGATACTTGAAACATCCACTGCTCATGGATCCTTGGCTATTCAAGGTACTGCTTTTAATATTACTTCGGATTCAACTAATCAATCCGCTTGGATCCTGGATTTAGGTGCCTCCGACCGCATGACAGGTAACTTATCCCTGTTCCACAGCTACATCCCCTGTCACAATCAATCTCGTATCCGAATAGCTGATGGTTCATACTCGCCTGTTGCTGGAATTGGGGCAGTTCAACTCACTGAAAAACTCTCTTGAAAAAGTCTTACATGTCCCAAATTTATCCTGCAGTTTACTGTCACTTAGTAAACTAATTGAGGATAAAGCTGCTCTTGTTGAATTTTTTGCTCGTGTTTGTGTTATACAAGAACAAAAATCGAGGAAGATGATTGACACTGCTAAGGTTGATGATGGACTCTACATTTGGAATAAAGACAAAAAGAAAGGAAGTTTGGCGTTATTTGCTTCACATGAGGACACAATTATGCTGTGGCACCAAAGGCTAGGACATCCAAACTTCTTGTACATGAAGTATTTACTTCCACTGTTATTTCGAAATAAAAATCCAATTTCCCTAAAGTTTGAAATCTGCCAACTTTCAAAACATACTCGTGTTCCTTATACATTAAAACCTTGCATCCAATCCAAACCTTTCTCCTTAATACATAGTGATCTATGGGGGGCTAGCCGAGTGAAAAATGTTACGGGGGCTAGATGGTTTATAACATTTATTGATGACCATACTAGAGTTTGTTGAGTTTATCTCCTCAAAGAAAAGTCCGAAACACCCGAAGTATTCCAAAATTTTCATTCAATGATTAGAACCCAATTCAATTCCACCATACAAACTCTCCGCACCGATAATGGAAGAGAGTACTTTAACTCGATTTTAAGTCCTTACCTTGCAGAACAAGGCATCATACACCAAAGCTCCTGTCCAGACACACCACAACAAAAAGGAATTTCGGAAAGGAAAAATCGGCACCTATTAAATGTTGCTCGAGCCCTAATGTTTACCACAAATATCCCAAAATACCTATGGGGAGAGGTTGTTCTTACCGCATGCTACCTAATCAACCGAATGCCATCCAAAGTCCTTAAATTTCAAACACCTCTAAATACCCTTCAAAAAGCTTTCCCTTTTTATCATGTTCCTACCTTACCGGTTAAATTATTCGGGTGCAAAGCCTTTGTCCATAGCCATCAACCCAACCTATCTAAACTTGACTCTCGTGCTCATACTTGTGTTTTTTTGGCTACTCCCCTATGCAAAAAGGGTACAAATGTTACTCACCTACTTTGCATCGTGTATTTGTTTCCCGAGATGTAACCTTCTTTGAAACAAAACCATATTTTTCAGCAACTCATCTTCAGGGGGAGATTCTCAATGAAGATGAGAACCTCAATACCCTCCTTATTACTCCACCACCCGATCATAATCTACCACAAAATTTTCATACAAATGACATCCTTATAATCCCCTCACAGCAGCCCCCTTCCCAGCAGTACAATGATGATCTTAGTTTGCAGAAACAACAACAACTTGCTCCACAGCTTGCTCCTGAAACTCAGAAACTCAGAAACAACAACAACTTGCTTCACAGCTTGCTCCTGAAACTCAGCAACTATGTGCTCCTGAACTCCGGGTTTATTCAAGGCGTCATTACTCTCCTGAAACTGACATAGCAGTGCCAAATTCATCTACAACCGTGGACTGTTCTACAACAGAGGTAACTCCTGATTCTCCATCTAATGATCTCCTAATTGCTATTCGAAAAGGTGTAAGGACTTGCGCCCAACACTCTATCTCTCGATTTGTGTCTTATGGAAATCTATCCAAGTCATACAAAAACTTTGTGACAAATATTGACCATGTAAAAACTCCAAGGGATGTGAAGGAAGCTCTTGAATCACCCGAATGGAAACATGCTGTAATGGAAGAAATGAATGCTCTAAAAAACAATGGAACATGGGAAATCTCGGATCTGCCTAAAGGAAAAAAAAACAGTAGGCTGCAAATGGATTTTCACCACCAAATTCAAAACTGATGGAACTATTGACAGGCACAAGGCTCGACTTGTGGCAAAGGGATTCACTCCGACATATGGGATCGACTATGATGAGACCTTTGCACCTGTTGCCAAACCTAATACTATTCGGGTTCTTCTGTCACTTGCTGCAAATCTTGATTGGCCTTTGGCTCAGTTGGATGTTAAAAACGCCTTCCTAAATGGTGAATTGGCCGAGGAAGTGTATATGGACTTTCCACCAGGATTCGAAGAAGAAAAAGGTCGGATATGCAGGTTAAAGAAATCACTATATGGGTTGAAACAGTCCCCAAGAGCCTGGTTTAGTCGATTTACCAAGGCTATGACCAGCAGGACATATACCAAAGGACAGACTGACCATACCATGTTCGACAAACATTCAAAGGAAGGTAAATGCTCCATCATTATAGTCTATGTTGACGATATCATTCTAACAGGAGATGATTCGAATGAAATCGGATGCCTAAAAGAGTTCCTTAGCACTGAATTTGAGCTTAAGGACTTGGGAAATCTAAAATACTTCCTTGGAATGGAAGTAGCAAGGTCTCGAACAGGTATCTCCATCTCTCAACGAAAATAAGTCCTAAATTTACTGAAGGATACTGGCATGTTAAGTTGCAGACCTGCAGAGACCCCGATGGAATTCAATCTGAAACTTGGAAATAATGAAGATGGAGAGGAAGTAGACAGGGGGAGATATCAACGACATGTGGGAAAACTTATCTATCTATCCCACACTCGTCCTGACATTGCTTTCAGTGTGAGTGTTATCAGCCAATATATGCATAACCCAAGGGAGAAACATCTATAGGCTGTCCATAGGGTGTTGAGATACTTGAAGGGAACACCGCGTAAGGGCCTATACTTCAAGAAAACAAATAACCGATATGTAGACATCTACACAGATGCTGATTGGGCAGGTTGTGTGAATGATAGACGGTCTACAAGCGGTTACTGCAGCTACGTGTGGGGTAATCTTGTGACGTGGAGAAGTAAAAAACAATCTGTTGTAGCCCGCAGTAGTGCTGAAGCTGAATATCGAGCTGTGTCACATGGTATATACGAGGGAATTTGGATATAACGACTAATGAGGGAATTAAAAATGCCTCACACCAGACCTATGAAACTGTACTGTGACAATCAGGCAACAGTGAGCATAACATACAATCCGGTTCACCATGATCGTACCAAACATGTAGAAATAGATCGTCATTTTATCAAAGAGAAGATCGAATCAGGGGAAGTATGCATAACCTACCTACCAACTAAACAACAAATTGCAGACTTGTTTACCAAGAGCCTAAACAAGAACATGTTTGAAGATCTCACTAGCAAGCTGGGTTTGATGAACAACTATACACTAGCTTGAGGGGGAGTGTTGGAATTCCTAGAATCAAGGGACAGTATCTTTTTTTTTCTTAATTCTAGGAATTTGCCTTACGTAAATAGTCACTAATCTAATTCCCTGATCTTAGAAATCATTTCCTAACTTAGAGTAGTTCTTCCTTATAAATTGTAATTTACGTTTAGAGCAATAAAGTAAGAATTTTATTTCTTCTCACATTTGTTCAGGTGGGGAGGTTGGAATAAAGTACAGGTTTATGTGGTCTATAAAATTTATATGTTAAAAGCATCGATGGTGTTCTGTCTCCAGTCTGGTTAAATATGATATCAGTCTATCAGACTTTACAGCTTTTGAAAAAAACATTTTTTATGCCAAGGGGTTTGGTACCCGTATATCATGTTTAGAGTCAGTTCTAATCTAAGTACTTTCCCCAGTTTTCTGAATCCTGAAATGCTTGCTTTATTTCCCTGAATGGAATTATTTTCTTTCTTAAGAGATTTATTTGTTTAATATATAAGCATGCTTAAATTTTATGGATGTTTTTCTAGTATATATCAATTGTCTTTCTGTTGCATATATTTTTTACAGGGATGCTACAAAATCCTCAATACCGTCAACAACTGCAAGATATGCTGTATGCTTTTTCTGACTTCCGCAGTTGATTATTTTTATGAGCCTGCCTTTCTCTTGACTTGAGTTTTAAGCATTGCCTCCAAAAACTTAACATGTTTGTTTCGGATTCTTGTTCAGTTATAATATTTTATGTAATGTTTATTGTTGCATGATTCCTGGTCTTGATTTTAAAAATTAAAATTTCGGATAGACAGATGCCTTTAGTTTTATGTTTGTCTAGTTTTACATCTTTGGGGGTTCATTGATGCTAAAAAAATATTTATATATACGTAAAGGGAACCAATATATACTCTTACTCTGCTCAAAAGAGTCATTATTTGTGTAAATTATTCCCTACCATTCTTCTTGAGTTTCTTGCAATTGATGTTGAAAGATAAGTGTCGAGATTTACGATGAAACTTATTAACTTAATGTGAAATGATGGAATTGGTTGATTAGCTGCCGTTGTATTTGAGGAGTTGGAGTGTATGTTTCATTTTGTTTCTGCAGGTTTTTGTTCTCAGTATTATGTCATTTGTGTCTACGCTTTCCAGCTGATAGTGGTTTTTAAGTCTTATGCTTTCAGGGAAGGTTTATTTTGTTGTAAGAGTGGGTAATGTACTTTTCTTCTGTTTAATAAAATTATAGGTGCTCTTTTCCTCCTTTCATTACCCTTCATGTTACTTTCATAACATGGAGGGTAAAAAGGAGGTTTTTATGAGGCCTCATCTTCTATCAAAAAAAAAAAAAACTTAATGTGAAATGATGCTGATCTCTATTCATTTGCTCCTATTATATGTATTAAGGTTACTATTAATTTTCTTATTATTTAGAATTGGCTGAGTTTATGGCCAATTCATATACTTATGTGTACGCCTTGCTAAATTTTTTCAGAAATAATATGGGTGGAAGTTCTGAATGGGACAATAGGATGATGGATTCCTTGAAAAATTTTGATCTCAACAGTCGTGAGGTAAAGCAGCAATTCGGTAAGTCTGAACCTTTTATTGAAGTGTTCCAATGCTTGGGATAAGATATTAATTCCTTGACGTATATTTTAATTATTTTTATTTGTTATATGTGTTATACACAGTTTTTAGATGGTCTGGTCCTCATGGTAAAATATACTTTATTACCTGAATAGGGGTTCAGTATCTTCCTTTTCCTTATGCAGACCAGATTGGGCTTACACCTGAAGAAGTGATATCCAAAATAATGGCCAATCCTGAAGTTGCCATGGCGTTCCAAAACCCTAGAGTTCAAGCAGCTATAATGGATGTATGTTCTACCCGGTTTATTGATGAATTGTTAATTCTCTTTCGATGTCTTGCACGAATACTAAATCTTTAGTATTAATGTTCTTTTCTCTTTTGCTGCTTTCCCCAGTGTTCACAAAACCCACTGAGCATTGCAAAATACCAAAATGACAAGGAGGTAATCTAGGCCTTCTATCCACATCTTATGTTTAATATTTAAGTTTCATTGATTGGTTAACTGATAATCATTTCGAGGGTTATAGCATCAATCCGCCCTTTTAAGCAAAATTCTCTTCTTTCCTTAATAACTGTATGTTGTCAATGTTTATAAATGCCAATTTATTTGAACCGATTGAAAATAGCTACTTCTTTTTGTTCAAAGATGAAGTTGCTTTTTGCTTCGAGTTCACTTGTCTGATATACGTGTGAAAACCTACATGTTCATTTACATGCAAATGTATTGCTTTTACTGTTCCAATGAGGGCTGCAAAGTACTGGTTAAGATTCCCCCTGCGGCACATCTGATTATTGTTTAATCTTTTCTGCCATGTTCTGGCTGTCATAGCTGATATGGATTTTAAAGTTGATTTCCTGGTACGACTTATTGTTGATATGATTGTTTTTGCATTTCAGGTCATGGATGTATTCAACAAAATTTCAGAACTCTTCCCCGGAGTGACTGGGTCACCTTGATTTGGTTGTTCACTGAAGTTACTGTTCTCAGAGTATAATTTATGTCAGATGGTCGAGGTGACCCAATATTGGAGTATAGACCGAACACAAATCTTACATCACTTGTTCTGGTTTTAGAATGAACCATATCAATGGGTTGTATTCCAAACATTCACCTTTTACTGTATAATCTAAAAGGTTCCATTAGCTGTAGTTGAATTTTAATGCTTATTTTGACAACTGGGTTTATACCGAAAATAACTGTAAATGGTTTCTCTTTATAAATATAGTTTCCCTACATTGACATAAGATGCAGTACTTTTTTAATAATCTGATACGATTATAACGTAGTATATGCTTTAGAATTTTTTTAGCTTATTGACAATGCATACACACTATACAGATCCATTTTTAGGTCAAATTAGAATTCTTTAGGAAGAATAACATTATCTAAATAGGAGTCGATGTTTGCTGGAGGTCATTATATAAACTTGTTGGATGTCGTCTGCATGAATTAAATTTAGTTAGAAGGAAAAAAAAGGATCCCTTCGCTAGCTGGGAATTGGCTTCAATAGCACAAAGAACGATAAAAACAACACTATAAAAATCCAATCAGAGTTTTGACAAATATCGTTGAGAGCCAAAACAATCTCATCATATCACTGCAAAACCTGGGTTTCATCTCCATCCCTTGCTGCATAATCCAACTGCAATGTAAAAAAAATCAAAATAATAAAAACCCTATCAAAATCAAAACAAACACACAAGGGGAAAAGAGTATAATCTTTACTTTGGTAACACTGTTGAAAAGATTTGAATAAAGTTTCCTAAGTTGAGGCCTTTGATTTCAAGGTTTCCCTTGAATGATAGTATAAATATCCTGCTTCAACAATGAAGAACTCCTTGACTCCTCCTGAACTTCATGCCATGCCTTGGGTTCAATCAGATCTTTGCCTTTCAGTAAAGCTTTTGCATGGTTTTGAACCCCATTTTCTTCTTCTTCAAAAGTCTGGTCTGGTGCCACCATTCTCAGGTCAAGTTCAAGTCCATACGCACTATTCTCTTCCTTCTTCATTAGTAAAGATGAAGCCATTGTTGCTATGAGTGGGACTCCCACCCTTCTGTTCATGTTTGAGTGGATAGGCGTTTTTGCAGGCATTTGCTTGTAGTATTTCATTCCGCTGGGTTTGCTGAAGCTGGTCATTAAGGTTTGTGAACAGTTTGGTGGGTTATACTTCGAAATTAGAGTTGGTCTTAGTCCCATCATTTCTTCAAACTATACCTTGAATTTTGGAGACTTGGTATATTATTTCTGCTGGATTTGGAGAACAATATTTGTAACAGGTCAGGCCTAAGACATTTTCGACATAAAATGTTAGGCAAGTATGAGAAATGGGTGGGTTAAAAAGAAGAAGAAGAAGAAACAGGGGATATAAAACTGAACTTTTGATTCGAAAGGAGACAGTGGGAGAAGAAAAAGCAGTAGGAAGGAGGGGTTGGAGTTGAATTTGAGGTTGCTGGTGATGATGATGATATACACTGCAGTGAATGTGACCTCTTCTCCTTTCTTGCTTTTGTTTTCTTCCATTGGGAAAAACTAAGAGGGGAATTTGTCACAACCTTTGGTGATTTGTACGATTAATAAGAAAGACTTCGGATGATTATCATTTCAAACAGTGAAGATAACATTTTTATATCAGCTCTGTATAACCCCTGCATTATATTGGAATTTAGGTTATTTGGTATAGTGTATGTGAAACTTTTAACGAAAAAAAATGATGAGTTCTATAAAAATAGAAGACGTCATATGGACTGGAACAGTGACAGATGTATGTACAATTCAGGGTGGATATGTGCTCACCCTAGAATATGAATTTCTTTATGTTTGTTATTCATTTTACTAAATGTGTCCATTCTGAAATTTTATTTGTACAACCTAATACAAACTCTTTTTGTCATTAATACATATGTGCTCACATTGGAAAATATTTCTGGATCCACCATTAGACTAGAAGAAAATTGTATAGAATTAGACATATCATTGTGACGAGTTTCAATTATTTATTATATTTTTATGAAACTCGTAATCCTCACATGACCAGCCCCACGCATATTGTAATAAATGATATAAATCCCAAAATAAATTTTAAATACTCGTATTTTTTTTAAAATCTACCTAAATTATTTGGTCAACGAAATCGTCTTTTTCATCTTCTCAAAAAAAAAAAAAAGTCATAAGTTGTCTTAGTGACCCTTTTCTGTAGTAATGGAACACACAAATTGATGTCCAAATCCCAACCCTAGAAGAAATTCTAGCCCCGACTAATTGTATCCCTCCAATCTTGATTGACATTCTTTAAAAAAATAAATTCAAGTCTTATCACGATCAAGCCGATGCCCTAATTGAGAACATAACTCATCCAAACTCAAACTAATAACCCAGATTTGATTAGCCGAAAGTACAAGAGCATATGTGAAAAGGAAACGAAAGGATTAAACAATCTCGTGCTTATCGTTACCTCTTTAACTCGTCTGACTGTCATCAATTATTATTTATAACAAGATCGTTATTAAAACATTTACATTTCATACTTTTTTCCTGTTATGATTTGTTTTTCACAAAACTCACTCAAAATTAATAAAAAAATCATATAAAGATTGGATATTTTAATGCTTTAATTTCCTCTAATATTCGTCTGATGAGACTAGTTTCGAAGTATGTTGTTTATCTTCATGAAATATTACTTATGACTGATCAATTTTTTTTAGATAAATGCCTCAAATTTTAAAAAAAAATCCTCAACCCTATAGTATAATAAAAATGAGTGAAAAATGATAATGGTTGTCCCTTATTCCCATATGTAATGGGGTAAGAGGGAGGTAAGATAGTAGGCTGCCCCCAACATTAGGTTGAGAGCAACTTCCGTAGGAGACCTCCAAATTATGAAATGCCCTCCATGAGACTCGATCCCACGACCTCAAGGTTAAGAACATTGTGCTCTACCAACTGAGCTGAATGGTTTAACTATCAAATGCTTTAATTGAACCCAAAGAAAAAGTTCAATTCTTAATTTGAATTGTTTTAAAGTTTAGAGTTAAATTTATACACAATTTAATATTCAATGACGTTCAGTGTATTTTATCTTAAAAAATTTAATCACGTATGAAGTTCTATCTATCTATCTATAATAATAATAATAATAATAATAATAATAATAATAATAATAATAATAATAATAATAATAATAATAATAATTAGTGTTTATCTAAAAATTATTTTTTGATAAATTATTTTTAATATCAAATAGTAATATAAAAATTATTGTTATCAATTCAAAAGTTTCGACAGAACTTGTTCTTTTATTTATAGTTAAAGATTAAATTAGTTTTTATCTTTTATTTATTAATATATTTAAATATATTATTTACAATAAATTTTAAAATGATAAATTTAAATAAGAAATTTTAATATATTAAATTAGTATTTATTTAATATATTTTTAGATGTATAGTTATATTATATTATGTTAACAATAAAATGAAAAATAATGTTTATTTTATTATCATTGAAAATATCTACAACCAATCAACATAATATATATACAAGAAATCTAACTGTTTTACTAACCCACTAACAACATATTTACAATCGCCTAACTAACTCTTAATTTATATTTAACACACACTCAAGTTCAAGTTGAACGGTTAAAAATATTTTTAATCCCCAATTTGGAAACCAAGAAATTATGTTGTTGTGTACTAAGCGCCTTAGTCATGACATCTTCTAGTTGATCCTTTGAAGCAACATACACTGCTTGTATAAGGCTTCTTTATTTTTCTTGTAATACCACAAAAATTTTGATAGTGACCAATGTCGAAACGATTTTTTTCTTAAATGTGAAAAATTAAGATTTTAAAAAACCACATTAATTTTTAATTTACCTCTTTCAATTAATTTTTAATTTAAAAACAAATGTGATTTGAAAACCTCTCGTTTCGAAAAATTTTGGATTTCCTTTATGATCGAAAAAATACAGTTCAAAGAGTCGCCACCAATCTTTAATTAGGGTGTGATTGGGCACCCAGAAATGCTTTGTCATTTTAAATAAAAATTAATTTTAATTAAAACAACAAATTGAGGTATGCGTTACCAAAATTCGAGTTCGGAAGTCGGTTACGTGTGGGGAAGGATTAGCACCCCCACAACGCCCTAAATCAGTACCTAGTCGATTAATTAACGTCTTTGCAATGAACTTTACAAATTCGAATTTATTTTGATTTTTGATCTCATAAAACAAAGATATAAATTTAAAAACATTCAAAAGCACTCAAACAAATTAAATTAAAATTACCAAGTCGTTTTAGAAAGATAAAGAATGTTCGATTATTTACAAATATCGAGACCAGATCTTAAAGATATAACAACCTTTTTTCGATATATTTAAATAAACGAACATTTCTTTTTCTCTCGTTCCCAAATTTTAGGTGACGAATCAATTTTTTGGTTTCACTTTCGGGATACACTTTTATTTTAAAATCATTAAAAGCGAACCTCAAATCAGTTATGACTGCCCACTTCAACAATTTTAAATTAAAAGGGTATTACCCTTAATCCAATTATGTGATATATGTCGAGTTATGCAAATGAGGTTATCATGCATATTATGCAAAATAATGTCATGCAAAAACTAATTAAAATATGCCATGCACTCAAACAAACTTCTAGATCTAGAAAAAAAATCATATGTATTTACGACATTAACATACATTAGAATAAAACCATATATACAATAAAACATACTATTAATAACTTGACTTCACATTCAAAATTACCATGAAGGACCATAATAAAATAAAATTAAACTAAGCATGCAAAGTAGGAATTAACTATTAAATTAAAAAACATGCTAAGTGACTAAATGGTCAAACAACCAAAATTACAAATTACATTTCAAAAATAAAACATAAAAACATTTCAGGACTAAAATGAAAAGCGCTCATAAATATGAAGACAAAATTAAGAAGGTGCAAAAGATTCGTTCAAAGACCAAAATGAAAGTTCCGTAAATTACATAACCAATTTAAGAACAGTGCAAAAATGACCCTAATATGGAATTGGACTAAAATATAAAACGTTTAAAATTAAGAGACAATATTAAAATAACAACAAAGCTCGAAATGCCTGATTTTGGGGACCGAAATGGAATGCGCGCATAATACTGGGTCAGAAATAGAAACTAGGAAAGTATCGGCTGAAACGATGGCGTTTAACCTTTAGACACA